ACAAATATGTCAGAGGCCCCTATCTAAGTGCACCCTTCCCCTTCACCGTTGGTGAAAGTTCCCATCTGGATTCCTCAGGATGCGTTTCGAAATGCGTCGTCACCATGCATGAATTTATAGAGCAATAAGTCAGGATGTAAGGGATCATCTGGTGCAAAGTAGAATACTACATTGTGGTGCTTGCGCCCTGGTGTTTCAAGAGATTAAAGTAAGAAAAACATTATTGTTGTATTATGATCACAAGAAAGTAAAAAAGACTAACATTGCAGACAATGAGATACAATTCTTAGGCCTGAGAATCTTCATATGAGAAAAAACAATATTTGGATGTTATGAAATGAAGCTAACGAAGTAACATTTTTACTTTCTGATAAATAATATTGTTGATAGTGAGAGATAAATCTAAGGCTTGGGTATATGCAAACTACCAAGCAAAGACACCACATGTGATTAGGTAGTGAATTGAGTACTGAGCAAAGAAGAGTTCGATTAAGTAATGCATTAAGATAAGCAACTACCATTCAATAAAAAAAAGGCCAATTTAAGGGGGGTGCCCTGTATTTTTGTTTTCTTTTCCGTTTTTTTTTTTTTTGAGCAAAGTTTAAAACCAGTACTCCACTTTTGCAAATTTGCAAATTGTGTCCCACTCAGTGATCAAAGACAAGAATCCCCTATCAACATGGATCCTTAAAGTGACAAAAGAAATACAATTAGTTCAAAGCTTCAACAGAAAAAATGCAGGAACCATAGTTTCAAAGAATCCACAAATTAACTAAAAGATATTGCTTGGCCCTGATATTCATAAAAAGTGGCAAGGATAATCAAGTAAAAACTCATAAAGGAATTTTCCCCTCAATGGATCCAAAAAAAAAACGCGAAACCATAACCTCAACTTTCAGATTCAGATTCAGAAAAATGGAAGCAATCCTATGCCTAATGGATTCTAAAAATTGCATAGAAACACTACTATGCTCCAAATTTCACAAAAAACCAGCAATCCAAAAATTTCACAAAAAAACAATAAGCCGGATTAAAAAAGGTAACATAGAAAACAATACTTAGCTTCAAATTTCCATAAAATGACAAGAACTACTAAGCTCCAAGGCATCTTTAAAAAAAAAAAAAGACACCACTTTGCTCAAATTTCACATAAAAAAATAGCTATCAACCCTTCATAGCTCTAAATTTCACAAAATTAGTATCATTCAATAAACAAAGATAGAGAGAGATAATAAAAACTCTAAATTTTACAAATAATGCTAGAGAGAGAGAGCAAAAAGCTATAAATTTCACAAATAATGCTACAGAGATTACTTTAAAACATACACAACCAAACACACATCTAAACTTAAATAAATAAATAAAAAAAAATATTAAACCTAGGATCTGTAAATTAACGGCAAAGATGAGAGCCTTGGGTGTTGACCAGAGGCATGGGCACGGCGAAGAGTAGCGGCGACCCTGTTGTCGGGATGACTGAGAAAATTGTCGAGCCGCACACTCGACCACAACCAATCAACCACAAGTGGCTTCAAGAGCCAATCACCAGGGGGCGATTTCTGTTTTCTAGCGAAGTAATTCTTAGCCCTGAGAGAAAAGAGGTCACCATGGGGTGGGCCCAGCCTCTTTGTCACTCATCTTCATGAATCTTCTTGCCTCCTGCCTGCCTTTGGACTCTCTCTCTAGGATCTTCTTGCCCTAATCCTCTGGAAAAAAAACTATCTCCCTCTCGAAAAAGCTTTGTATGCTTCCCTTATGGCATAGAAGAACTATCTTCTCCTTCCAAGAACCTCTCTCTTCCTCTTTTAATTATGTGTGCTCTCTCTCTCTCTTCTCCAAGAAGCACTATCTCCCTCTTTTACGTGTGTACTCTCTCTTTCTCTTGCACTAGTTTTACGTGCTCTTTCTCTCCTCCAAGAAACCCTCTTTCCCCTTCTCCTCCCATGCTTTCTCTCTCTCTCTCTAAAAATAGGTTTCTCTCTCTCTCTCTACTACATACTTATTTCAAATGGGTTACCGGTTGATCTCGTGCCTCCTATTTTGTGATAACTTAAGTTAATGAATGTCAGCTCTCCATTTTAAATCCATAGTTAAAAAGGTGGAGGAGGTTTGAATTTTAATTTTTTTCTACGAATCCAAATCACTTAAAATTTTAGAAGAGTATTCTTGTCATCAAGGAGCACCTAATAAAAATATAAAAAAAATAATTCACGAGAAACAATTGATCAAAATAGCCCCAAAACTTTTCAGGGGTATTTTGATCAATTTATTTCATGTAAAACTTTTTTTGATATTTTTTGTAGATTTCCCTATATTTGAAAAACACACATCTAAAATTTCAAGAAATTTGGATTTGTAGAAAAAAATTAAAATTCAAACGCTATCAGGCATCCGTGATTGTCATATCGGCCCAAATTCAATCTGGGCCGTACGCACCTGAGCATATATCATATTTCCTCATAAATAAATAAATAAATAAATATATATATATATATATAAAGTCTTCCCAATGCCTATAAGAGAAAATGAACAGTGATTTTGTAGACCATCATCATCATCCAAAGTTCATCGTACGATCACGATTATATAGTAGTGTTTCATTTTTTATTTTTCATTTTTTTTCTACAAATTGAAATGATATAAAATTTGGAACATGTTTACATCGTAATGAGGCGCACCTAATAAAAATATAAAAAAAAAATCATGAAAAACAATTGACCAAAATACCCCTGAAAATTTTGGGGGGTATTTTAGTTAATTGTTTCATGTAAAAAAAAAATTAATATTTTTTGTAGATTCACCTATTTTTTATGAACACAGATTCCAAATTAAAGTCATTCCGACTTGTTTTAAAAAAAAATGAAACATGAAATACTACCGAACAATCGTGACTGTGCAATGAACTTTGGACGGTGATGGGGGTAGGCGAAATCACTGTTCATTTTCACCTATAGGCGTTTTATAGTAACTTCCATATATACTATAAAATTCCTATAGGCAAAAAGTGAACAGTGATTTCACCTACCCTCATCACCGTCCAAAGTTCATCGCACGGTTACGATTGTCCGGTAATATTCTATTTTTCATTTGTTTTTTAAAAATTACAATGACCTAAAATTTTGATCGTGTGTTCATAAAAATAGACAAATCTATGAAAACTATCAAAAAATTTTTTTACATGAAACAAATTATTCAAAATACCCCTAAAACGTTTTGGGGGTATTTTGGTCAATTTTTATTTTATGGATAATTATATTTGTATTTTTATTAGATGTGCATCGGTAAGATGTACATACCCTTCAAATTTATGTCATTCCAATTTGTAGAAAGAAAATGAAAAACAAAACACTACCAGACAATTGTGACCGCGGAATGAAATTTAGATGGTGATGAGGGTAGGCGAAATCACTATTC